CCCACATGCAACATCAGCTCCTCGGGTACCACAGATAACTTTGCCAAAGATCTCTGACAAAGTTTAGACACATAAACTTTGAAGCTCCAGCTACCCTACCATTACCTACAAGGGTAAAGGAACAACATCACTGCTTGATAACTGGAAAATCCCTGTGTGTGTCAACCTCTGTGCTCCGTGTCAAGACATAATGGAAAAAATGCCCAACCTTTACTCATATCGAGAAAACACTCCAAACATGATTACTTACTCAAAAATCGAAGAGGCACCGCTCCCCGAATCTCGAGAGCCAAACTCCCACCAGGATTACTTTCTTAAAAATTGAAGAGGCACCGTTATTCAACTCTCGAGAGCTAGACTCACAACAAGATTGCTTTCTCAAAAATCGAAGAGGCACCGCTTTTCGAATCTTGAGAGCTAGACTCCCAACAGGATTGTTTTCTCAAAAATCGAAGAGGCACCGCTCTCTGATTCTCGAAAGCTAGACTCCCAATAGAATTGCTTTCTTAAAAATCGAAAAGGCACTGTTCTCCAAATCTCGAGAGCTAGGTCCCCGACACGATTGCTTGTTCGAAAACCGAAGAGGCAATGTTCTCCGAACTTCGAGAGCCAGATTTCCTTGGATAAAGCTTATCTGCAATTTTCACACATAACATTAGCTTTCCAGATACCACAGACCACTTTTTCAAAGTGCTCTGACAAAGTTAAAACATGTGAATCTTGCAGCTCCCACTACATTGCTATGACCGATAAGGGTAAAGGAATAGCGTTACTACTCGCTGTTAGGACAATTCTTATATATGTCAACCTTCATCCTCCATAGCTAGGCAAACCTGCAAATAAAAAAAATGCTCAACTTTTCTTCACATCCGATATGGCACTCTCAGCAGAGTCTTTTGAAATACTCAGCTTATTTTCCCCCCGATAATACCTATGCAAACAAGCCACACCAGAGCCAGAGTATCTCATATCATCAGGGTTAAAAGCAAGAGTATCCTACATCATGCTTTTTCCCTGCCTTTGCCTTTGGCCTTGTTCTTACTTGCAAGACAAGGAGAAAGAGAGCAATCAGTCAGCACTTGGAATCAAGTTTCTAGTCAGGAACTAACTACCTAGAACTCCTTGCCTGATTACTTACCTGGCATTTCTCTCGACTACTCATCTTCAACATCTTATGCTTCCAAAAAAGATACCACATCTGCCTGAGGAACAGATAAGGCAAGTGAGAATGATACAAGGAAGCATGTGGAGACAAGCGCAACAGAATACGTGCTGATTCATCTATTACTTTGTCAACAACAAAAGTATCTCATATCATCAAGGTCGAACGCACTCTTGATTTAATGAACTTGTTTTGACCTTCAAATTCTTGAGTCGACCTTATACTCTGGAGGAAACCAGAAAATCCTCTAGCCCAATTCAAGAATAAGCTTGTGGAAAGTTACTTCTTCAAAAGCAAAAGTATCCCATATCATCTCTTCTCATTTTCTTCTCTTTATCCTTCCTGCTGCCTGCAAGATAGGGAAATAAGAACAATCAGCCGGAACTTGAAATCAAACTTTTGATCTGGGACTGATCGCTGGGAGCTCTGATTGCTTACCTTGTCTGTCACCTCTTTCGGCGGATCTCCTAGCTCGGCGACTTGGGGAACTCCTACTACATGGTTTGTATCGCGCTTGACCAAGCCTGAAACTACAAGTAAGCTTTAAGTGAAATTGATACATTACCTTGTGCATCTCCACCGGTTAAAGATACCACCTTTGGATGGAGGAAAAGTACTTCCAGAGAAGATGCCACATCTACCTATGAGACAGATAAGGCAAGTGAAAACGATACCACACTTCAGTACTTAGAAGTTTCGTGATTACTCAGTGGCTTGGATCTTGCAAGTCCCCAACCGAGGAGATTCCCTCACTCGGGAACTTAGGGGAGCACTGTTTGTACTATACTTGACCAATCCCGAAACTACTGAGCACCGATTAACGTTATACCATCAAAGACCTAGAAGAGTTTCCCTCCAACCAGGAGGCCAATCACAGCGAGACATGTGTCGACATCATAAGCCAATCATAGCACGACACGTGTCAACATCAGAAGCCAATCACAACACGACACATGTCAATGTCAAAACAAAGCTAGAAACTCTCTTCTATAAAAGGAGATCATTCTCCCACAATATTTCCTAATGTCATTTGTACTAAATCATTCACTAGTACTCACTAAAGGAGAGCTTGAACCTATGTACTTGTGTAAACCCTTCACAATTAATGAGAACTCCTCTACTCCGTGGACGTAGCCAATCTGGGTGAACCATGTACATCTTGTGTTTGCTTCCCTGTCTTTATCCATTTGCATACTTATCCACACTAATGACCGGAGCAACCTAGCGAAGGTCACAAACTTAACACTTTTTGTTGTACCAAAATCCTCACTGATTTTGTGCATTAACAAGACGGTCCATAGGAGCGAGCCAAAAAGCCATGGAATCCTCGTTCAGGAGGTACTTCCGTTGGTAATGCTTCGGGCATAAGTCTTCAAATGAAGATCATGGCAAAGGCTTATTCAGCTCTTCTATGCCATTATTGACTACAATGGTTTCTCAGCTTCTTGATAGTCAAGTGGAGATTCACGTCTTGTACCCCACATAAAGTGGTTTCTAATAGAAAACATCCAAATCAGGAAAATTAAACTTGTGACGGTTCGACAATCCACTGAATTGGGGGGAACAAGATTGTGATTGGTGATATGGGAAAGAATCATCCATAAGCATCAAATTTAGAACATTTGAGTTCTAAGACATGGTTTTCATGAGAAAAACGTCGGGTTTTCATAAGTGTATTGTTTTATGAAAACTTCGGGTTTCAAATGCACTAAATTTGAAACTACAGGTTCAATTTAGTTTTTGAATGTTTAGTTCATAAAAGAGAGGTTCCTGCAAGAACACATGATGCAATATGCTGATTTCAGCGTAGTGGATTTGAGTTTTTTCGAGAACTCAAGTGTGAGAGCTTCATTATTACGAAAGTATGTCAACAGTTCAAAGTATAAAAATAAATTATTGAATCGTTAATGTCCAAAAGTGATCTTTAAGTCCATAATTTTGGATTCATTCTCAGATTAATAGGTTGCAGGTCACTTTTAATTAATTCAATAGATTGAGACCAAATGGGGTTGATCGTAGAAGCAAAAATAATAATAACATTCAAGTTAAAATTATTTAAAATGCTAAATAATAGTGTTGGGTCGAAAATGCCATTGTTATGAACAAAAACAGCAGCCCAAGCTGCTGGTTTGGGCTTTAAGAGGTGCATGGGACTCAAGCCCATCATGGGGCTGGCCTAGTTTTGGTGCAAGAAGCCCAGCCAAGAGGCTGGCGTCATTTTTGGGCCGCGGGAAACCAAGCCCAATCATTTGGGATGGCGACGGGGTAAGCAGGCTACGGGCTTGGGTTTGAGCCGGGCAAAAGCCCATCAAGGAATCCTTGTCGTGGGGGTAGGTCTAGGAACAAAGCCCGATTTCCCTTTTTTTTCCTCCTTTTTTTTTTCAATTTTGTGAAGGTTTAAGAAACCCTAAATTTGATTTTATACTTTGACTCACATATTCCACATAGCAAATATAATTGCGCAATGCATGAAACAAATATATATATATATATATTGACAAATATATGAACATATACAATATATATATCGTAAGGAAAATATAAACATAGGAGGGTTCATGCATCATGGGGAATGTTTTCATGCTTCAAGGTCTTTTCAAATGTCTTACTTTATTTTAAGCGTACCTGATTGGCAGAAAAAGAATAATAAATTAATCATAAAAAGAATGATTAAAACGTAATACTCCTTTGATTTCAAGGTCGTTTCAAATGTCTTACTTTATTTCATGTATCATGGGGAATGTTTTCATGCTTCAATAGCATGTAGATCAATTCAATAAAATAATAAATTAATCATAAAAAGAATGATTAAAACGTAATGCTCCCTTGATTGAATAATAAACTTTCTTTAGCGCAGCGTCAAGAGTGTGCTGATAATGTATTGTAGGCATAATTTACTGAACAATTATGGAGGCCAGAGAGAGGGAATGTGTGGCATAGAGAGAGAAGAGAGAGATGTGTAATTGAGGTGTGTTCTATTCCACCCCATTGTGCCTTTATTTATAGTAGTAGGATAGGTAAAATCCTTACCCTTTTAGGATTACAACTCTTAATAGGTAATCAACTCCTAATAGGAATATAAGAGATATTCCTATATCTACTAGGATTTACACAATCACATTTCTAATCTAATGACTAAATTTTATTTTAAAAACTTTGCGGACTTTCTTGTTTGCTTAATCTTTTAAAAGAAATTTCAAAGTGCATAGAGAGTTATTAATATATAAAATGAGAGATAATCGTTAGGAAATGTGCTAGTAGTGGTGGTGAAGATGGTGGGGATGATGGTGGATGTTAGCAGCGGCAACAATGTGGTAGACAATGGTATGTAGTGGTGGTGGTAGACGTGAAGGTGATGATGACGGTGGGTGGCGGTGGCAGCCACTCATGGTTGAGTTATTTTGTATTTTTTTTTGCATGCTTTCACTTATGGAAATATGGAGGTGACAACTATTTACATAAAATTTAAATTTGAAAATTAGAGAAATGAAATTCCAAGTGTTTTTGTATGTCGATTTCTAAATTTTAACTTTTGTCTAAACTCAAATTTATTTTCCGCATCCAAACATAGTAATTTGCAAAGAACAAAAGCAGAAACTTTTCCATTCCCAACAAAAAAAAGTAAACAAGCAAGTGACCCCCTTTACCACAGTGATGGATAGGTGTTGAGTCAGTGCATGATAGCGTGAGTTCAAACTCCACTGGTGGCTAATCTAACATATAATATAACAAAATCTATCATTTGACAAAAAAAAAAAAACAAAATAGTGCAATTTAATTTAGGATTTGATCCACGTACACATTGACACGGCAATTGAAGCAAAAAAAATAGAAGAAGAAGAAAGTTTACGCGTATCTTTCTTTCCCAAGGTTGTCGCGGTGGACGTAGGACGTTGTCGCTGATTGGGTCGGTGAACAGACAGACACCCCAAATATCCCATTTCCAGATTCATTCATTAAAAAATCTCAACCTCCACTCTCCCCTCTCTCTCTCTCTCTCTCTAGAATGCAAACAACACATCCACAAGAATTTCTCAAGGTGCGTTTTCCCTTTTCATTTCAATCTCATTTATCATTTTTCTTGTTGGTTTTCGTCATAATTTAATTTTCTTAATTGTCTTGTGAATTTGATCGTATGTGATTGATGGAAATGATTTTCTGATCTAAAAATTAATAAATTCCAACATTTTCATTGCATTTTTTCTTCAGGTTTCTCATCTGCAAAACAAAAGATTCAAAATTTGAAGGTTTTTTTTATTGTTCAATACAAAAAAAAAAGCGAAAACTGAAATTCCAAGTATAGAGAAAATGGGAAATTTTGGAAGCACCACCTCCGGGGGTCGCCGGAGGCACCGCCCGCAACCCCAAATGTCTGGGGGCACTCATGTTTTTGCTGCTTCACCACCACCTCATGCATCTCAATATCCAAACGGACCAGACTCCAATCCACCCCAATACCATCAATACCCGTCTCTATATCCAAATGGATCAAACCCAAATCCGACCCAGTTCTTGCAATACCCCGGATTCCACCCGCCGCCGCCTGTGCCGGGTCCGTATCCGCAGTCTTTTCACGGCACCGGGGTCTACATGGGCCCCACTCCCGCCAATTGGGTTCACGGGCAGTTCCCTTTCGGTGCACCCCCTCCTCCCCCTCAGGGTGCTCCCTTTGTGGAACATCAGAAGACGGTCACCATTAAGAATGACGTGAATATCAAGAAAGACTCTTTGAGGGTTGAGCCGGATGAGGAGGATCCCGGGAGGTTCCTTGTTACTTTCACGTTTGATGCTGCTGCGCCCGGAAGGTAAATTTCTTGAGTTTCATGGACGCCTGTTTTATGAGAGTATTTTTCGTATGCTTTGATCATTGGAGTAGTGATGTTTGACTAAGGATTTGAAAAGATGTAGTTCTTTGATGACGTTAGATTGGTTGAATTTGTTTCGAGCTGATTGTGCGGTTTATTGGTGATGCTTAGTGGTTGTGTTAGGCAATATATACATGCCTCTTCATTGTGAGTTGCCATGGTCAAGTCAACTTTTTAAAAATATAGGGTTGTCTACTGGACCAAAGAAGGAAACGTATAGCTTAGCTCAAGCCATCAAGCTTATTACTTTGATACAATTGTCTAATGATAGAGATTAAGGGCCTAAGGGGCGGTTTGGGAGTGAGGTGCTTAAAGCACCCATGAAAAAAAGCTGTGAGGGTTTTAGGTGTTTGGTAAACTGAAAAAAAAGGGCTTATTTTGGAAGCTGCTGTGAGAATAAGCTGAAATCAAAGGAAAAAGCTGAAGCTGCTATTTGTAGCTTTGGAAAACTGGCTTTTTTTCAAAAAGCACAGAGTTACAGTGCTCCTTTGATGAAAAGACCCACTATCAGATTGCTTTTTTTTCCAAAAGCACTTTTACAAAAAAGTTTACCAAACACTCTGCTGATTTATTTCACAGCCGCTTATTCTCACAGCACAGCCACTTTCTCACAACAGCTTTTTTTCAAAGCACAGCAATACCAAACCAGCCCTAAGGCAGATGAACTACAAAATGAAGTTATGAGGCTTGTGCCCTGGTGTAAAATGACATACAAATCTGTCAACGTTATTTGTGACATGGAGACGATGAGAGTCTAATATTTCTTGATGGGAATTAATCAATTGTTTGTTTTGCGCTAAAAGAAATAAGAAATGAAACATAACCTTTGTACTTATGAGTCTAAAATTTCTTATTCGGTTGTTAAACCCCTTCATACGATGTTGTTAACCATTCCATTGTTAAAAACATTCATTTGATGGTTCTTCTATATGTGATCCTTTTACTTATTTATTTATTCCCCTTTTTGTGCCACAGCATGACAGTTATGTTTTTTGCTAAAGAAGATGTAGACTGTAAACTGATAGCAACAAGGGAAAGCTTGCTTAAATCTGTTACAGTGCCTTTTGAGAAAGGCCTTGGTCAAAAGTTTAGACAACCTTCCGGAACTGGGATCGACTTCTCAGTGTTTGAGGACATAGGGTTAACAAAAGAGGGTGACGTAGAAGTTTATCCTCTTGTGGTGAAGGCTGAATCCTTTCCCTTGAATGATGGTGAGCGGGAATCGGATGGAAATTCCGCTGGGAATTCTCAGATCACCCAGGCGGTGTTTGAAAAGAAGGAGAATGGGGAGTACAAAGTGCGGGTGATGAAGCAGATACTATGGGTGAATGGTACGAGGTACGAGCTGCAGGAGATCTTTGGTATTGGGAATTCAGTTGACAATGATCAAAATGATTCTGGCAAAGAATGTATAATTTGCTTGTCAGAACCTCGAGACACAACTGTCCTCCCATGCCGGCACATGGTACGTACTACTTAGAGTTTCTATTCTTTACCTCGTCTTCTATTTGTAGTTTGGATGAAGACACGTTTTATTGATGTACTATTTTGTTTTTTCTTACAAGAGATATTGAATCTAAGTTCTTTCCTTATAAACCTCCACACAATTCCCCTCGAACTGCATAGCTTGTTGGAGATGTCCCTAACTATCATAACTTTTGTGGCTGAAAAAAAGCATCGTCCCCCTCCACCCTCGCCCTCTCCTCCAGACATTCATTTAGCCTCACAAAACATTGTTTTCCCTCAGAGAAATATAAAGGAGTGTTGCATATGGGCCAAAATTCACTTTGTATAACTCCCTTGCAGGATCTTTATCCGATATTTACGGTATTTTGGTTGGTGTTTCATCTTGTGAGCTGCATACTAGCGTTGTAATTTGAGTATGAGTAAGGTTTGTCTTGATTTTTTCTTCTGGCTAATATTTTGTTTTTTGACTGCAGTGCATGTGCAGTGGTTGTGCCAAGGTTCTGAGGTTCCAGACAAATAGATGCCCCGTCTGTAGGCAACCAGTTGATCGGCTCTTGGAAATCAAGGTGAGCAATGGGGCCAATAGTTCAGGATAGCATGCTATCAACTAAATGTTGTAAAATCCATAAAATCCAAAAGAAAACGATATAAGAAAAGGAAAAACATGACCCGACTTTCGCACATACGATGAGTCCAACACAGATGTCAGAATTGTACGGATCTCATCTCATGTGAGCGAGTTGAGAAAATAGTTGGGCTCTACTTTTAAAAAGAATAAAATTGCCAATTATACTTGTATTCTATTTTCCTTTATATAAACCCCTTGTTTTCCTTTTCATGAGGCGTGGGGCGGATGACTCTGTGCCCACGCTTCAGCTTCCTCGCGGTGATCAGTGTTTAGTAGCGACACTTAACAGAATGCATTTTATTTACTTTTAACTTGCGTTAACCATTGTCATTTTTCCTAATGACGCCATTGCGGATGGTTCGGATCATTGTGAGCTCGACTAGAGTGCAAGTTTTTTCACCGTTGGGGTGGATATACAAAACCCGGCTTGAAGAGTTGTATTGAGTATGTTAGAAAGATTGAATACCATCGCAAAGTGCATATAGAAAAGATTGAACGGCGCATGTCTCAGAAAACAAGGGTATTTTATATATCTTCAAGCTAGTTGAGATTCTTCAGTTTGTACTTTGTGTGATGGTAATGTTCAAGCTAGTTGAGATTCTTCAGAAAACAAGGGGATTATATATCTATATGATTTCGAATTGAAATTCGATCTCATCTCACTTTCTTTGATACGCTCATGCGTTCAAATTTCATTGGGGACAATCGTTGTTGGACGACTTTATGTTTTCAAATCTCAATGATGATGCGAGATGGAGTCTGCTTAACCCTATCTTCTCCCTCCATTTTAGTGCATAGAATTAGAGGGTGATTAATGACTTGTTTGGATGTGTTTTTAAAATGACTGAAAACTTTTTTAGTGAAAATGTTTTTCGATTCTAGAAGAACTTAAAGCGCTTTCTACAAGAAGCATCAGTTATGTGCTTCTTCGACGAAGCACTTTAAGTACCTTTCCAAGATTTACTAGCATTTTTACTAAGGATTATTTAAAAAATATTTTAACTAAAAGCGTTTTCAGTCGTTTTAAAAGTACATCCAAACAAGCCCTAAATCCTTTTTCGACCTTCAAACGACTCTTTTTATTTTTTCAACTAGCATTTGCCTAGTGCCTACACACTATGTGTGTGAACAGAGAGAAAGATTGTGGGTGGGCATCCCTTACTCCGTATACATTGAAAAATCTCTTGTGGGAGTGAGAGGTTTTTTTATTTTATGTTACTTAACATTACCTTTAAGTGAGATTTTAATAAAAACAGTAAAATTTGGATCTGTGAAATTATATTATTGGTGTTTTTTTTTTGTGATAGAAGATAAAATAATTTTTTTTACCATCTTTTGGTTGACAAAAAATGTTCTATTAATAGGAAGTTTAGATTTGTGTAAATAGTATTCTTTTTTTTTAAATATTAAAAAAATTAAATATTCAATTTGAAGGGTAATCTCTCTAATACTTCTACACCCTCAAATTTGTTATCCACCCGTATTGCACTACATGAAATAAAATAGTAACGAAGTACGTAGGTAAAACCTTTTTTCTGAAGAGAAATAATATATTTAAAAAAATATTGGATATAGTTGTATGTAACTTAGTTATCACATAAAAAATTATAAAAGAAATTTTTTGAAATGTCATATAAATTTATACGCCTCTTTCAATTTGTCATATGAATTAATAAATTTAAGCGATTTGTCATACCAACTTTCTGAATCATTAACTTGTGTTGATGATTTATTTTCACACGTTTTAACATGAATATATCATCCAACTTTAAGTGACTATATTTTGAGCATTCACTTAGAAATACAAAAGTGAGTGTACATTATTTCCTTTTTCTGAACGTCAAACCCTTAGATCATCATATACGAGATCAAATTTTTATTTTTATTTTTTGTATTTTGAAAAACTCTAGAATTAGTTTTGTCGAAGATAACTTAATAGAAAGAAAGTGAGGTATTGAAATGATTGAAATAGCACTTAACAAAATTCATATGCAACTTATTCTTAAACTTATGAGATGATAAATTAATGATTTTGAAAAGTTAGTATGACAAAATCGCTTAAAAATTTAGTTAATGTGACAAATTTAAAAAGATGTGCGTTTATTTAACATTTCAAAAATTTTCCCAAATTACATAAATATGGTAACAAAGTGCAAACCTAAGTATAAGGAACCACTCGAACTCCAAGTTAGCAGACAACTCCATTACTTTCGCAATGTCTTCAACTCCAACTCCCACTGCCGAACCCGTAACTGAACTCCTAAACCCACCATCCCCACTCAACGGGCATGGTTCAACCGATCAACCCCAACCGCCACAGGACCCAGCAACCCAACCGCCCGACGACGTCGTATCCGGCGACAAACGCAAGCGAGAGGTTAACGACGACGTCCAAAACCCTTCCGCCGCGCCCCCTCTATGGAAGACCAGCCTCTGCTCCTTTTTCAGGCGCGAGGCCAAAACCTGCGGCCATGGAAGCGAGTGCCGCTACGCACACGGCGAGGCGGAGCTCCGTCCCCGACCCGACAACACGTGGGACCCGACATCCGAGCGCGCCAAGAAGCAGAAGTTGGAGGAGGAGATTGAGGAGTGCGTGGCTTTGGACAATGTGATGATGACGGAGGCCATCGATGAAGACGGAGACGGCGGCGATGCTGGGGGTTTGGATCCCGAGCTGAGCAAGTGCCTGGTGCATTTGCCGAGGAATTGGAAGTCCGAGAAACTGAAAGAATTTCTCAGTGAGAAGGCAAGTGTTTTTCTTAGTGATTTTTATTTCGGGTTTTGAATTTCGAAGTTTGGGATTGTGATTTTTTTGGTAGTGCATTGCAGGGAGTCGAATTTAAGTCGGCGAAGAAGAAGAAGGGCATGGCTTTAGGGTTTGTGAGTTTTGAGAATGCAGAGCAACTACAAAATGCTGTGAAGGTATCCCCTGACTTGCACAAACATATAATTTGAAACTTTATTGCGTTTAAATTGACATATTCACTGTCACTTGAACATCTCAATTTTGCAGGACCTGGAAGGAATATCGATTGGCAACAAAGTTATGAAGGTTGCGGATGTCATTCCCAGATCATTCGAAAAGAGAACCAAATCGATAATGGCCCCTCAAATCCCAGGTGTTGGATTAGATGGGGAGAATGTGGAAGACTCTATGACTGCAAATGGGGCTGAGGATGGTGATGGGCTTAATGGACGAAGTGCCCGGAAAGTCGTGACTCCCCTAGCTCATATGTCTTATGATGATCAGTTGGAGCATAAAAAGAGCTCTCTTATGCAGATTCTCAAAAGACTTGTCAGTGGTGCTTGTTTATATTATTTCTTTTAATATCGTAATTTTAGGTATTATTATTAGCATCTACATATTTATTCACACGCACCGAAAAATGACTTATTTACTGGTGCAACTTTTATTTTGCAGACGAGGAACGCTCGTAAAGCTTGTCCTGATGGTATTCCACTTCCAGAATGGATACTCAAGTCTAGGGAGATAGGTAATCTTCATACATTACTTGTGAACTTATTGAAACTCATTTGATTGTTTTATTAGTGTTTTAGAGATGATAGTGGGTCAAAGCGCTTGATTGCTCCAATATTTCCTTTGTACTTGCAACAAAATTTGACTAGGGATTCGCCCTTTGCATTTGGATGATTGTAGGTGGCCTTCCATGCAGTTTAGAGGGTATATTAGCGTCCCCAGTTGTAAAAGGATATCGGAACAAGTGTGAATTTTCAGTTGGGTATTCTTTACGGGGAAAAATTACTGTGGGGTTTATGCTTGGAAACTTTAGGTAATTCACCTTCAATAGACTTTTCTGTTTTTTTTGTTTTGTTCTTCGAATAGATTTTTCACTAAATTAAATATTTCCAGGGAGGGTGTTACAGCAGTTGAAGAACCTTTTGACTGCCCAAATGTTTCCAGAATTTCTTCCCAATATGCTTCAATATTTCAGGAATTTCTGCAACATTCAAGTTTACCGATTTGGAACAGATTTAAGAATATTGGATTCTGGCGCCAATTGACGGTAGGTGTTGTAAAATTGAGGGTATACTCGGAAAAAAATTTGTATGACAAGTACCACTGTCTTTTGAAGTACCCAATGCTCATATACTGTTGATATGCACCTGATAAGTAATATTGTTCTCCCAATCACTGAATATTCTGTCTCGTGATTTTTCTTCTAAGGTTCGAGAAGGGAGGAGACCAGGCATTGCTACTGATTCTGAACATTGTGAGGCCAATATTGCGGAGGTCATGCTTATTGTTCAGGTTAGTGTGTGCGAACCTGCATCAGGATTTACACACGTCTTTTCTTTATTTTCCCCTATAAGCGTTCTTTTATAGTTAAAAAAAATTGAATGGTAAATTATAATATTCAGTCCGAGTTTGAAAAAGTTTCTGATAGAATCTTCTGAAACCATGTAACCGTAATTTTTATGTTTTCCCCCTCTCTGTACATAGGTTTCCAGTAGTGGATTTGATGATGCGCAAATAACCAGTGAATATGAGAGGTTGGCTCAAGCTTTTCCTGCAGGAGCTGCTGCTAGCTCTCCATCTTTGCCTCTAACGTTTTTAGTTATTCAGGTACTAAATCCTTATTTTTGGATAACCAGGTACCAAATCCTTGTAGCCTAGGTTTGTTATAAACTTATCCCAGATGAAGGTAGTAAGAATGTCAGGGCTGAATTCGACTCGATGATGTCTTAGTCTCACGACAGAGTGCTTTCAAGAGAATGTGTTGCTCCCCTTAGTTGATGATAGAGCAATCTTGTCTCTTCAGTTTTTAAATGTGTTGTCCTCAGTATCATGGTTTACCCTTTTTTCAGGATCACCAAGGAATATCTAATGCAGCTCCAGCTGATGCTCCACTGCGCTCATTATCTATTCCTAAAGCAGAAGGTGGTTCCGAAACGCAGTCCGCCGACAATGTTGTAGAACCAAAAATTCATGACTATATAAACAATCTTAAGTTCTGTATATCACCAACAGCCTTTTTCCAGGTTGGTCATTAGCTTGCTATATTGATCAGCTCATCTGAAAAGTTTTTTCCTTGCAATACTAATTATTCCTGAGTCCAACTCTACTGCAGGTTAATACCCCTGCTGCAGAGAAGCTTTACTCGCTTGCGGGGGAGTGGGCTCAGTTGGGTCCTGATACCTTGCTATTTGATGTATGTTGTGGGACTGGAACAATTGGGCTGACTTTAGCACACCATGTTGGTATGGTAATATTCGAAATCCTGATTCTCATTTTTTTGTCATTTTCCCCCTTTCGGAGTGGTTAGAGTATCTTATAAACTGATCAGTCCAT